TCCGTAACTACTATAAAGTGTTTCAGTCCATAATAGTACTGAAAATGCTTAATTGCCCAAATTATGGCTAGACATTCCAACTCAGTCACGGCATAGTTTCGCTCGTGCTTAGTTAATCCACGGCTGGCATAGGCGATCACATACTCCTGACCATTCACATCCTTCTGCGCCAGTACGGCTCCTAGCCCATGCCCGGATGCATCAGTGTGTACATAAAACGTTTTGTCGTAGTCCGGATATCTTAGAACTGGAGCAGTGACGAGGTGTCATTTCAGCCGCTCGAAGGCTTGATCCTGATCGTCCTGCCATTTATATTTAACATTTTTTTTTGTCAGATAGTATAGCGGTTGCGCGATCGTAGAGAACCCTTGAATAAACCACCGATAATATGATGCGAGACCAATGAATCCACGTAGCTGGCGTACGTTTGTTGGCATTGAAAAATACTTTACTTTATCAATTTTAGCTTCGTCGGGTCTTACCCCATCTCTGCCGATTACATGACCTAAGAAGTCTATCTGCGCCTAAAAGAATGCACATTTACTTAGGTTTAGTTTTAGTCCGGCCTCCCTGATCTTGATTAGTACGGCTTGGATATGTGTCGAATGCTCTCCCACTGTTTTAGAGTAGATGGTTACGTCGTCCAGGTAAACCGTCACAAATTTCCCAATGAATTCACGTAGCAGCGTGTTCATCAGATGCTGGAACGTTGCTGGGGCATTACACAGTCCAAATGGCATGACTGTGAACTCATACATTCCTGCAAACGTAACAAATGCTGTCTTTTCCCTGTCTTTTTCGTGCACTTTCACTTGCCAGTAGCCTGACATAAGATCGATGGTACTAAACCATCGCGCACTAGCGTATGCTTCAATTAGGTCATCTACCAACAGTAGGGGGTAGGCGTCCTTTTTCGTTACTGCGTTGATTTTTCGATAGTCTACACATAGCCTAAGTTTTCCACCCTTTTTCGGCACTACGACTATCGGAGACGACCACGGGCTCTTCGATTCTCGTACTAATCCACGCTCCTCCAAGTGAGCTATTTCTTTTCTTATAAATTCTCTGATGTCTGGGATGGTTCTGTAGGCATTTTGCTTGATTGGGCTTGCCTTCTTAGTATTGATCTCGTGTTCAACAATTTTGGTGCAACCCAACTCTGATACAGATTGTGCAAACACGTCACGTCCTTGTTTCAACATGTCTTTTATCTGTCCCACCTGTTCCTCTTTGAGTTCGTCATCCATTTCCAGTTTCTCAATCTTTTCTTCGATGTCTTCCTCTTGTGTTGGCTCCATCGGCATCGGCAGTTCCTCAATTAGTGCCACGGCGTCTTCTTCGAGCGTGTCGGTGTTGAAATTGTTTGTTGACTTAACGATTTGTTTGTCCTCAGTGTGGCTTGATTCCTTCGGTACTTCCGCTTGAGTTTCCTTA